CTGTGCACTTGGTTAGCTACCATCCCATAGCCTACAATGCATATGAAGTGTGACTGGCTCATGACATTTAACCGTGGATGTACGGAGAAAATGCCCTCTTTTTTTCCTTTTTGTTGTCACTCCTGTTGGCTTCCCCATGTGGGGGTTCGTGCTCTCTGATTGGCTCAAAGTGAAGTTGTTGGCCACTGACCGCTTTTGTTCTAGCAAGAGAAGTAAAGGCCTCCCACTGTGATAAGCACCTACAGTATTGGCAGTCAATCAGCAGTGAGATGCTGGTGTGTTTCATGCTTAAGGGACTTAGTCCTTGCTACTGACACCTCAGGCTAGTTTCTGGGGTGGATTAGACCAGGGTTTTTAGTGAAGCAAGTATTGTAGAGAAAATGGTATAAAAAAAAAAAGCAATTTTCTGTACAACAATATAGACCCTTCCCCTGGTTTCTAGAATAAGATACTGTAGTCTATTGTGACCTCAGGCTAGCTTCTGGGGTGGATTAGTCCAGGGTCTATGGTGAAGCAATTAGTATCAAATATTGTCGAGCTGAAAATGCCATTCAAATGTAATTGCATTAAAGAGGAGACAGAGTAAAGCTGCTAGTCTACACCCCATAGCCATTCCTTCCCCCTGGTCTCTAGGTCTAGGAAACCATGTATTTTGGTTTCCAAATGGCTAGAGATACACAAGCTTAACTCAGAAAGGCGGAACAGACAGAGAGCTGTGTGTGTATATGTATGTGTGTGTGTGTGTGTGTGTGTGTGTGTGTGTGTGTGTGTGTGTGTGAAGCAGTGCTAATTGTATGGTATCTAATCAATGGGACTGAGGGTTGTAGTGGTCTGGAGTTCAGGGCTCACGCTGGGCTCCTGACATGCTAACCTTTGGGTGGACAACCAGAGAGACCAGAGAGATGTGAACACATTCCCTTAAGGCTGGCCGTCTGTTTATCTGTAGAGGAGGGGAGGAGGGGACAGTGTCTACCCCCAATCAGACAGACCCCTGCTGAGCTTGGCGTGGCCACTCTGCCCCCTTAACCAAGGATAGGAACCAGAGGAGAGGAAAGAGGAGAGAAGAGGGGAGGAGAGGAGATGACTACTGTGTGGAATCTAAGGACGTCAAGATATCAATGAATACACGCTTTTCTTGTGCTCTGATATCAACCGCTCTTCTCTCTCAACGGCCTTTCCAGCTAATTGCCTCTTCTCATCAACTCATTAAACTACTATAATTACCCTGGAGGCGTGAATCCGCTTCCTCTTAGGCCTCCTGACCCAGCTAAACTATGACACACACACCTACATACACACACCATAAACTTTGCTCACACACACACAGAACACACACTTCGCAGTGGGAAACTGTGGGGATGAAAGAGAGGCCTTTAATTGATTTGCATGTGTTTACATGAGGCTGGGGCTGCATGGTGGTGTTACTGTAAACACACTGATTCACACACACACACACACACACACACACACACCACAGGCATAATTTATGTGCCTCCAGTGTGTCTGGGCTGTGCTCTGTAATCAGTTGAGAATTAGTGTGGTGGTGTCAGCCCTTCGTTCCCCCTGCATCATTACGCCTTTATCATTCTCTCTCTCTGTGTGTGTGTGTGTGTGTGTGTGTGTGTGTGTGGTCGCGAGAGAGAGAAGAGCGAGCGCAGAGAGAGAGAGAGAGCTAGCAGAGAGAGAGTAGAGAGAGCGAGAGAAGATAGAAGAGAGGAGAGAGAGAGAGAGAGCGACGCGCGCGCGCTAGAAGCTCTCTCTATCGCTGCTCTGACTGCTACTCGCAGTCGAAACGCGATAGATAGCTTATAGCGCGCGCATAGAGAGATCCGAGATGCACAGCCATGCATAATTTCTAGATTTTCCGTATTATGCATTTGTTCGAATAGCAGGCGTCAGCTTGAGTGGTGTAAAGCTTGCCGCCATTGGACTCTGGAGCAGTGGAAACGCATTCTCTGGAGTGATGAATCACGCTTCACCATCTGACAGTCCGACGGAAGAATCTGAGTTTGGCGGATGCCAGGAGAACGCTACCTGCCCCAATGCATAGTGCCAACTGTAAAGTTTGGTGGAGGAGGAATAATGGTCTGGGGCAGTTTTTCATGGTTCTGGCTAGGCCCCTTAGTTCCAGTGAAGGGAAATCTTAACGCTACAGCATACAATGACATTCTAAACAATTCTGTGCTTCCAACTTTGTGGCAACAGTTTGGGGAAGGCCCTTTCTTGTTTCAGCATGACAATGCCCCCGTGCACAAAGTGAGGTCCATACAGAAATGGTTTGTCGAGATCAGTGTGGAAGAACTTGACTGGCCTGCACAGAGCCCTGACCTCAACCCCATCAAACACCTTTGGGATGAATTGGTTTGACGACTTGAGCCAAGCGTAATCGCCCATCATCAGTGCCCGACCTCACTAATGCTTGTGGCTGAATGGAAGCAAGTCCCCGCAGCAATGTTCCAACATCTAGTGGAAAGCCTTCCCAGAAGAGTGGAGGCTGTTATAGCAGCAAAGGGGGGACCATCTCCATATTAATGCCCATGATTTTGGAATGAGATGTTCGACAAGCAGGTGTCCACATACCTTTGGTCATGTAGTGTATATCTGAGTTTCAAACAGTCACACACACAAACACACAACCTAACCTGACAGCTCTGCTCAGTCTGTGAGACGATAGACTGAGGTTAATGTGAGCGGGCGCCACACACCTCAGGAAGGTAGTCATTTACCTTCATTACCCTTAAATCCTGCTTAAAGGAGCTGGATTCCACACGCCTAATTACAAGGTGTTAATAACAACGATGTAATGACAGTCATTTACTAACCTGCCTGCCTCCAACCATCATCCCTCTCCAAGTGCCTCGCTCTCACAGTGGAGTGAGTAAACTGAGAGGAGGTTTGAAGTTGAAAAACAAACTGATCTACGTCTCAAATGGCACCCTATTCCCTATATAGTGCACTACTTTTGACCAAAGCCCTATTGGCCCTGATCAAAAGTAGTGCACTGCATAGGGAATAGGGTGCCATTTGGGACCCTGGCTGACTGACATAATTCTTATTGATTACCATTGTGATTGACTACCAAAGTGGTTTTTGAGGTCATAGCGAGTTTCAACGTGAGTAGAAAGACTTGTCAGGGCTCCATGGAGCCAGAGCTGTTTCCTTTGACTGTGTGGAACATATTGGAGTGGTAGCACAACAGTTAAGTTGTCTCTCTGATCTGCTTCCATCTTCCTGCCACCGACCAACGCCCAGAGACAAGTTATGATGACACATAGGCCTACGCGCGCGCGCACACACACACACACACACACACACACACACACACACACACACACACACACACACACACACACACACACACACACACACACACACACACACACACACACACACACACACACACACACACACACACACACACACACACACACACACACACACACACACACACACACACACACACACACACACACACACACACACACACACACACACACACACACACACACACACACACACACACACACACACACACACACACACAGCTAATAGCAGTGAGGGAGATACAGTAGAAGGCCTCTAAGATACCACTACAATCAGCCCCCTTTCAGCAGCACTGGACTAGTCTGCAAGTGAGATAGCACTGGGCTGACCCTGGCAAAAACACTCCCATAATTGTCCCCCACAATGAAATCGGGGAGGGGACTGTGGCTCTGTCTCCATCCGTACGTTAATCACACGCGATATCTCAGACAGCACTGGCCCAATTGTGACGAAACTTGGATGAATGACGAGTCTTGCCATAGAGATCTGGCATTTACAAAAGTACACTGATTGGCCCAAGGCGGGAGCTTTAGTAATGAACAGAAATGTGTTAGTCACACGCGATATCTCAATTGGCCCAACAGGGCACTGCAGCATTCGTGCGGGACGACATGTTTACTGTTGCCTTGTTTCTATTGATGTATAGACGGGTGGGTCGTTTGGCAACAAAACCGATGTGTGCACAACTTTGGGGCAAAACAGATGGTTGGCTTAGAGTCAAAGGACAACATGTAAACTATATTTCCTCTCCAAATGTTTATTGAAAACATAAATACATTTGTACAATGAGCATTTGTTGTCTCTCAAATATATTGTTACACTTGTTGGTTAGCTAGCTAGTGAATTTTTGCCATATTAGCATATGTGACAAGAGTCAAAATACCTCAAAACAAGACATGGGATCAATAACAAGACACAACAAGCTGAAACGAGTAATCTACGATTCCCCACATGGCAGCTTCTTGTCATTGTTGCTAGCTATCTAACCATTCAGAATCATAACAACAGGAGGCCTTCAGCCCCATGGATGCTTGTGCATTAATTTTGTGATGTTGTCAGCCAACCCGCTGTCTATGTACTGCACTGAAAGAGTATTTTATTTTCTCTTCTAAGGAAATTTGCTATTTTTCATCGTATTAGATTCATGTCCTTCATTTGTTGAATGTAGCATATTTTTCATTATATTAATTCTTAAATTAAATTATATTTTTTATTCTGGGAAAACGGGGTTAGGCAGGCCTAATCTACATATTTGGAGGAATAGCCATTGAGGGAATTAAGCAACAATTGCAAAATAGTTCTCAGCAATTTTCCCTCCACCTCCTCACGCAATTAGCTCTAAATTAGGCTCGTATTTACTCGACCTCGTGTTTACCCCGAGTGTAGTCTGTCTCGAGGGTGTATTTAACCTCAAGATCTCCCAGGACCACACCCAAATCCCCGAAACGCACAGGCCAATCAAAAGTCTCCTTCTGCTTCTATAGTTTTGTCAGGGTTTGAATTGGTTGAAAGTCCCAGTATTATAAACAAGTGTGTTCATGAGTTTAGACACAGACTTCAGAAGTTGAGAAGTTGTTGTCTTCTCCGTGGACAACAGTTGCCATGCGCATATTATTATTCACTTTAAGACAAGTTGAATTTGTTCGTCAACATCTTATTTTGGCATAATAAGAAGCATGGATTCTCCTGTAGATTCGAAAGATGGCTTTTCAACCTATGAGGACACTCCTCGACCACGGACGCAGCTCAAGGAGCACAAAACACATGTATCACCTTTACCTTTCAGTGTGGAAGCGATCATGTTGGATAGAAGATCTCCTAGTGACAGAGGGAGACGCCACAGTGGTACGATAATCTCTCCCCTGGGGAATTACTCTACATCGGTGTCCAGAGAGGCGTCTAGTCCAGAAGACTTTCCTCACAACTTTGAGCCGTCTTCTTCGCTAGTTAAATCAGAGACGTCTGAACCAGGGGACTTTGCGTCCAATTTGTCTCCAGCGCTCAGTAAGTGCTCAACCTTATACTGTAGAAGAGTTATTGAATAGACAATGGCCTGGTCATTTTTTGTCCCAAGGTGATCAGTTGGGAAATATCCATTATTTATGTTTTCTAATGTATTTTAGAAGTTGTAGCCTATGTGGAAATAAGATAACTTTCTGAGTTAGAATTGGAAAAGTCTTAGAATGGTATAAAACTATTGCACACTAGCTACAGATCAATATCAATGCTTTATAACCATTCAATAAACTGCATATCATCAGGAGAGAAGGCTAAATGTATGTATTTGTGTTAATGCAGTGAGTATACCATACATTAGGAACACCTTCCTAATATTGAGTTGCACCCCCTTTTTTTGCCCTCAGAACAGCCTCAATTTGTGGGGCCATGCATTCTACAATGTATCAAAGCATTCCATAGGGATGCTGGCCCATGTTGACGCCAATGCTTCCCACAGTTGTGTCCAGTTGGCTGGATGTCCTTTGGGTGGTGGACTATTCTTGATACATACAGGAAACTGCTGAGTGTGAAAAACCCAGCAGCGTTGCAGTTATTGACACAACCCGGTGCACCCGGCACCTACTACCATACCGCTTTCAAAGGCACTTAACTATTTTGTCTTGCCCATTCACCCTCTGAATTGCACACATTCACAATCCATGTCTCAATTTTCTGAAGGCTTAAAAATCCTTCTTTAACCTGCCTCCTCCCCTTCATCTACACTGATTGAAGTGGATTTAACAAGTGACATCAACAAGGGGTGATAGCTTTCACCTGGATTCACCTGGTCAATCTATGTCATGGAAAGAGTCATACAAAACCCATGAATGGACAGTATACTTTTTGTCTATTAGTGACATGTTTAGGCTAATGGATGTTGACAAATACCACAAGCACTCATCATGCCTTTACCCTTTATTGATACATCCATCCCTCCCTCCCTCCCTCTTTCCCTCCCTCTCTCCCTCTTTCCCTCCCTCCCTCCCTCTTTCCCTCCCTCCCTCCCGCCCTCTAGACCAGCTCAGTCCCTCCTTGAGGAAACACAAGACCAACAGGAAGCCCCGGACCCCCTTCACCACCTCCCAGCTCCTGTCCCTGGAGAGGAAGTTCCATCAGAAACAGTACCTGTCCATCGCAGAGCGGGCTGAGTTCTCCTCCTCCCTGTCCCTCTCAGAGACCCAGGTAAAGATCTGGTTCCAGAATCGACGGGCTAAAGCCAAGAGATTGCAGGAGACAGAGGTGGAGAAACTCAAGATGGCCACCGCAGGTGTTGGATCCAAGCCGGGGTTCTATCACTCGGGGTCCTCCTCGATGCCGTTCCCCCTCTGTGTCAGTCTGGGTGGTCTGGGTGGGGGGGTCTCAGGGATGTACGGAGGACAGGGGTACCCCTTCAGACGCACCCCTCTGTTAAAAACGGCACCACATCTGGGAGTGTACACCTCACCAATGGGGTACGGACTGTTCCACCTGTCCTGAAACTTTGTGTGTGTGTGTGTGTGTGTGTGTGTGTGTGTGTGTGTGTGTGTGTGTGTGTGTGTGTGTGTGTGTGTACGTGCGTGCGTGCGTGCGCGTATGTGCGAATGCGATGAACCTTACAACAAGATGTCAAATGATACCCTAACTCTCAGGGGTGCCTTGAATATAGTGTGCTGGACCAACTTTGATATATTCAACAGATGTGGAAGTGTGCGTGGTTATATGGTTTCCTGGTTTGTTACGGAAGTGCCTAGTGCTTCAAACACCCCATAGTTCCAACACCCATAGTACAAGCTCCATTGCAGGGTAATTGTTCATTTATTCTATAGCCCTGACCTCCTGAACTCCTGACCTGTGCTGTATTTGCCAAAGCTAGTTGGATCGTTCCATAGAATACTGATCTCCTGTGTGTCTGATCACTCCCTAAATACCAGATTAGCTCTATAATAACATATTTATTGAATAAATTTAATATAATATATATTTTATTAAATGTATCTACAAGTGTAAATAGTTTGTGGTCTGATGTTGAAAATAAATATTATTTGCTGAGTATAATATCTTGTCTTTGATCTGGTGTTTTACCTTCAACATCTCTTCTTATAGTTTAGATTTGTTTTAGTCATGATTATGCTTCTACAATGTCTGGTAAATACAAAGAACAAATTGCTTAAATTCGACACAATTTCATATGCAAGTGGA